GGGGAAGTTGCAGCTCTCTGGGGCTACCATCTTTGCCATCTCTAGCCTTTGGTCATGCTAGCTGTGGCTGATGGGAGATGGAGTCCAGCACCATCTGGAAGGCCATCCTGGCTCTAAACCCTTACAGGTCAAAATTTACTTCCTTGTTGAGAAGAACTGCCCTTGTTAATTCTGGGTTGCTCCTGCTCTCAGCTACACCAGAGCAGGGTCTGCTATATCCGGCCGTCATTGCACACCACCCAATGGCTGCCATCGGAAATAATGGATGGCCTACCCGATTGAAGGCCTTAGACAAATCAATTAATATAGCTGCTAGTCTATTGATTCATACCCATAGCTGTAAAAATATCATTGATTACCTTGAGAAGTGCAGAGGTACGTACGTGCCACAGATGGCCAACCTGTCTGCGGACTGATCAATACGGTACATTTTCGGAAACTTTACCCCAGAGTCTCGTTGGATGGGGACGGGTTTGGACAGAGCTTAAAGTACGAAAGCAAATAATTTTGCTAACAACAGCCCATTAGGCAGCTAGTCGGTTTGTCCCTCATTTATCCCTGACTGTAGTTTATAGCCACATTGGTAGCAGTCACATTTTTTATTTTTATTCTCAACTGGAAGGGAAGTGGCTCAGTGGGACCTGTCATTGAATGCTGATGGTGGCAGCTTTTGCTGCGGCTCAGAAAGGATAAATGGAATTCAAACCGGGGGGGGGGGAGGGGGCAGGGTGACGGAGCAGACTGGCAAAGTGTGTTGGGGGGGCACTTGGCTGAGGCAGCACAGCGGAAATAAAAATGTTCTTGGGATGCCCCCTACCTGGTCCCCAGTGACTGTTTTCATCCAGAGTACAAGATCCACTTCAGGTTTACAGCCTTTTAAAAAATATTATTTGCTGTCCTGCTTGGTTAGGAGTAGCTCAGCAAGGATGAGCTGACAGATGTGGGCGAATGCTCACTGCTGTGATGAACCAAAAGGACATGAGAAGAACCTGCTAGATCAGGCTAGTCGGGGACCCCTCCAGTCCAGCATTCTGTTCTCGCAGTGGCAACCCAGAAGCCTTTGAAGCAGGAAACCTGCAAACAGGAACCAAACACAAGAGTACTCTCCCCTCCTGTGACTTCCAGGACCTGGTGTTCAGAAGTGTTAATGCCTCTTAACGGTGGAGGTAGAACACAACCCAGTTTGGCTAGTAGCCATTGATAGCTTTGTTGTCAAAGAGAACAACAACTACCAGACTTTGATGTCAAAGAGAACAACAACTACCAGACTTTTAGAAGACATCTGAAGGCAGCCCTGATTAGGGAAGCTTTTAATGTTTCATGTATTACAGTATTTTAATATTTTTTTGGAAGTTGCCCAGAGTGGCTGGGGAAGCCCAGCCAGATGGGTGGGTTATAAATAATAAATTATTATTATTATTATTATTATTATTATTATTATTATTATTTGTCCTGCCCTCTTAATCCAGGTGGGAGGCCCATCACTTCTTCTTGCAGGAGTGAGTGAGTTGGAAGAATATTAAGAAATTATGCATGCAGAATCAGAATAGCATTAGTTGCATTAGTCCATTGGCTATAGCAGAAACCATGCATATGTTTTTGTGTGTGTGTGTGTGTGTGTGTGTGTGTGTGTGTGTGTGTGTATACGTGTACATGTATATGAGCTGCTTAGCAGAGCACAAAAGGAAAACAAAAACAAAAACAAACTTCCATGGAGTCCTTCCCCCCGCTGCCCCAACTCAGAGTAGAGTAAATTCAAGGCGACTTTGACAAGGTGAAGGGAAAGTGATTATACTGGTCTAGGCTGTCACAGGAATTGATCTGTCCTCTCAGCTATCGATCCATGGTCTCAAGCATTTCAGGATGTCAAGCTGCTTGATCTGAATTTCTATCTGCTGCGCTCTAGATGAAATGATGGAGAACTTCAGCCGAGGCCAAGACTACTCTACCTCAGCTTCGGAATTCCTTGATCAAATGCTGACATTAAGAAAGAGAACCCCATCACTCATCCTGACCAGTGAGCAGCCAGAGAAATCCAGAACCATTTTTGTTTTCATTTGAACTAGCCCAAATGCCCACACTTAGTTCTGTCATTTCATAATACAAATAATTTTTATAGCTCAGAGCAGAGGTCCATCTAAGTTTGCAGAGCCAATATTTGCAGAAGTACCAAAAAAAATCCACCACCATCCTTTTATTTTATATGCCACTTACTTGCCCAAATGGCTACTAGGTGACATACAAATGTAAAACCAATTATGAACAATAGATCAACAGACAATTAAAGTAAACAATAAATTAGTTTCATCCAAACATTTTAAACACCCATAATTAAAATGTACAATAAACCAAGCTCATTAGCAGTATTTAACAGTACAGCAGTTTTAAAAAGCTGTTAATCTTAACAACTCAGGACCTAATGAGATCATCTTGCCCCACATGAGTTCACTCAATTGCTTTGATCAGTGGAATTAGACTGCAGGTGCCACACAATAACCATTCCACATTTGTAAGAGCTGCATTGTTTAGCGTGGCAGTATCTTCACTATGGAACTCCCTGCCGATTGTGATCAAGCAGTTGCCTTCACTTCATTTTCTTCACTGCCTACTAAAAGCATTCCTGTTTAGACAAGCCAACTCAGATACTTAGAAAGTTGAGGTAATTTTAATCTGTTTTAGTAGTTTAACATTGCATGTTTTTGTGGGATAGCTAGCCACACATAACCAACATGCTTAAGTCTAATTAATGCATGCAGGGGTTAATACCATAGAATAAGCCAGTGTGGTGTAGTGGTTAAGAGCGGTAGTCTCATAATCTGGGGAACCGGGTTCGCGTCTCTGCTCCTCCACATGCAGCTGCTGGGTGACCTTGGGCCAGTCACATTTCTTTGAAGTCTCTCAGCCCCACTCACCTCACAGAGTGTTTGTTGTGGGGGAGGAAGGGAAAGGAGAATGTTAGCCGCTTTGAGACTCCTTAAAGGGAGTGAAAGGCGGGATATCAAATCCAAACTCTTCTTCTTCTTCTAAGCTATTCGGCCAGGCCTAGCTATAACCACAAGCCACTCTTGAGTTCCTATGCCAATAGTTTTACTGCCTGTGGAACTTTTTCAGAATGCTGCATGGAAAAACACATGAATCTTACCGTTGGAGAGTTTGTAATCAAACCCATGCTAGGGGGAGAAGGAAACTTTAGAAGGAATTTGGAAGGGCATATTTCAAAGGTCTAGAAACTTATATTTCCACACTTTACTTTGCTTCGTGTTTTGTGATTTTAAATTTGCTGGCGTTCTCTCACCAAGGAGTACTTTTTAAAAGTAGGGTTGCATTCCCCCCCCCCTTGATTTTATTGTCTTAATATTTTTGCAAACTGCTTTGATGTTTTTTATAATCAATAAGTGAATAAATTTTATGAAATAAATAAATAAAATGATTAGCTCATTAGGCTCAGAAGTGAGAAGATCAGGAGAATCAAGGATGTCTTCAAGAGCCAGCAGAATGCCATTACTGATGGGGCCCCTCAACTTTCATGCAGGAGCAGGGAACCCAACATAGTTTATTTAATGGACAAGGAAAACTGAGTGTTGGGAAAAGGAAACAGAAAACTAGGGTGGGAGGAATGGAATGGAGTATCTCAGGAAAGGGCATGGCTGGCTGGAATCTTTGGCCCTTCACACTGTGACTCTTTCCCCTCCATTACATGTACTATTTCTTTTCTACAATGCATAGTTCGGTTCTGTAGTCATGTGAAGGGGTAGAGACGATTCTGTGGTGGAGCAGCCATTATGTCTATTGCCCTATGCTATGGGCTTGCTGCAGCTAGGAGACAGGTTGCTTAAAATTTTACTTCCCTCCCATTGACTCTAATGCATTCCTCTTCTCCCAGGCTTCTGGCTACTTAAACAATCTATGGCCTTTTAAACTGGGTGGGGGGTACTGTTTTTGTTTGTCCTTCTGTTATATCTTTTTGAGTTTTTATATTGTAAACTGCCCTATGATCCTCAGATGAAGGGTGGTCTAGAAATTTAATAAATAGCAATAGTGTTGATGATAATTACAATGTACATTTATTTATATTTGCAAAAATTTCTATACCACCAACCTCGAGCACAGAATATCAGGGCAGTGAACAGTATCAAACTCTCTCTTCCTCCTTCCCTCTCTTAAAACAATTGCAGAATACAGAATACCTGGGTGATAGAGGTTTGGAGCAATTTTGTGGGCATGTCAAAGGGATGAGGGAGCTCCGGATCTTGCTGAACCACAAGAGCACAAGAAGATCATGTTTGATTAGGCCAGTGGCCCATCTAGTTCAGCACCCTGTTCTCAACTGTGGCTTCTGACAGTGGAGACAGAACATTATCAATCAGAGTTAGTAGCCACTGATAGACCTATCCTCTAGGAATTAGTCCAAACCTGTTTTAAAGCCATCCAAGTTGCTGGCCATCCCTGACTGTTGCCATACCACTTCAACAGCCGCAGAAAATACAGGGAACTGTAGTTCATTAAGGTGCTGGGAACTGTAGCTCTGTGAGGTCAGCATCCTTAACAAACTACAGTTCTCAGGATTCTCCAGGAGAATTAAAGTTCAACAGTGCTTTCAATGGGTGGTGCAGATGTGACCACGTTTTTGTATGGAGAAGCCATCCCTCATTTCAGCCACAACCTCACTGAGAGCAAGGCCTCTGCATTGCTTTCCTGCTTTCTTTGTTCTCCCACCTCCCCATTCCCAATCCATTAGCAATATCTTCACCCTTTTGGTGACAAGGGCATTCTGACATCACCCAGCACATTGCAACAGGCATTCTACATTATTTATCTCCATAAACGTCCTCCTCTCCTTGTCTTTCATATTGTTTTGAGGTCAGGCAGGGTTTGCAGCTTTAGAAAGTTCTGGTTTCAAGTTCTTGAAAAAATAAAGAAATGATAATGTAGAAATGGGAGCCAAGGAGAGTTGGGAGAAACGCTTAGAAAGAAACTTCCAAATGGGTAAGTTGAAAGTTGGAGAAGGGCTGTAGTTCAGTGGTAGAGCATCTGCTTTGCATGCAAAAGGAGGGTCCCAGGTTCAAACTGCTGCAGCATCTCCAAGTAGGGCTTGGAGAGACCCCTGCCTGAGACCCCAGAGAGCTGCTGCCAGAAGCAGACTTTGTAATGTTTTATAATATATAAATAGGTACCGCTCCGGCGGGAAGGTAAACGGCGTTTCTGTGCGCTGCTCTGGTTCACCAGAAGCGGCTTAGTCATGCTGGTCACATGACCCAGAAGCTGTACGCCAGCTCCCTTGGCCAATAAAGCAAGATGAGCGCCGCAACCCCAGAGTCATCCGCAACTGGACCTAGAAGAAGAAGAAGAGGAGTTTGGATTTGATATCCCGCCTTTCACTCCCTTTAAGGAATCTCAAAGCGGCTAACATTCTCCTTTCCCTTCCTCCCCCACAACAAACACTCTGTGAGGTGAGTGGGGCTGAGAGACTTCAGAGAAGTGTGACTGGCCCAAGGTCACCCAGCAGCTGCATGTGGAGGAGCGGGGAAGCGAACCCGGTTCCCCAGATAACGAGACTCTTAACCACTACACCATACTGGCTCTCCATCTGACCTAATGGTCAGGGGTCCCTTTACCTTTACCTTTACCTGTGTGAGGGCCAAATTTGGTGTTCCCAAATGGATCTCAATTATGTATCTTCTCAATTTTGTGCCCCCTCGGCCGGCACCACTCAAACCAAAGCCCCCCCCCAATGAAAAACCCCAAACTCAGGACATTTCCTTTAAAATGTAAAAATCCACACAGATGGGCATGTTGGCCCCCCAAAATAGGACATGTTCAGGCTTTCCTGGACGTATCACAACCCTAGTTCTACCTGCTTCTTCTTTCTCCTTCCCAGCAGCCCTTGTAGGAAACAACTTCTCCCCTTCTGTCTCCAGCTTCCACTCCACTCCTCCAGTCACGGTGGCAACCTCTGTTTCCCACGCCCATTGCAAAAGGCACTTTTTCCTGTTGATTCCATTTGGCCAATGGTAATTATTATTAAAAAAGCCAGACCATTATTAGTTTTTTGCAGTGCCATTTTTCTAGGAAAAGAGGTGCCACAACTTACCATGAGTGCCTCCCTTGTTTTCTTATAATGACAGTAGTACCCACCTGAGAGGTGCCGGAACTGAGTTCCAGTGAGTTTAGGCTTGTGGGGGGGAGCCCCGGGCTTTTGTTTCTTCAACAACCCGTCTCTAGTGAGCCATTGCCAGGCTGGCCTCATGAGGAAGCTAATGGGCATTATTTCCAATCCTAGCTAAATTCATTCATTTATGAGTTAGCTCAAATTCTAACTGTTCCCTGAATGTAGGGGTTATGGGGGTGGGGTCTGCCCCCCAACTCACTACATCATGTTTGTCAGCCACATTTTTGTACTTGCCATTTCCCCCTCCCCTCCCAGTTGTCTGTTTTGTGTAACATCTCACCTGGTGCAGGCCCCCTTGAGAACTCGGAGCTTGACATTTCTGTTGGCCCTAATATGCTGTGGATTTGGGGAGTTTTTACTATCAGCAAGATGGAAGAAAATGCCATTTTGATTTTCATTCCACAATGCAGTAACACACCAGGATCAAAGCAGCTTAGAAGTAAGTGTGTGTGTGTGTGTGTGTGTGTGTGTGTGTTTAACCCACAGACCAGCTGATTAAAATTACCATCTCTGATTAAAATGAATCTGCCTCCCCCACCATGGGTTAATCAATGAATCCTTTAAGACTGCCATTCTCTGCAAACTTACTGTGGAATAATTCTCATTGTGTAAGACACTGCTGTTTGCTGATTTAGCTGCAGATTTTAAAAGATCTAAACTTGCAGTCCTGAATGGAACAGATTGCATGGAAATTGCTTAGGGTAACATCAGTCTTTAGGTAGAGGATCGGTAGGCTATAGAAGATACAGATGGAAGAGATTGCCCTGGCCTTCTGTATGAGCCTCCCTGAGATTCTCCTGAAGTCTTTGTCCAGTCCTCTGAAAATCTGGGCCTTCTCAACCAAATTCCTAAAGCAAATGTGAAAAGATACCCCACAAATCACAACAACCTCGCACTAGGATTCCCTCTTCCCAGTTCTCAGCTTTGGATTCAATAATAGTTATCAGGATTATGCTTGAAAGATTGAGTCTCCGACAAGCCAAATAGCTGCCCCCCCACATTATTCTTTTGATTCTAAGTAGTTGTTGTTACATCTTATTCATCTGGAAAATAATTTTAAACAGCCCTGAAAATAGCGGATTCCTCTTGGTTAAAATGATCGTGGGCGCCAGGGCGGCTGACATATAGTAACATGATTCACTTGGACAGTCAGTGACTGAACATCCAATTCATTTCTTTTCTGGAGCACCAAGTTATTATCTGAAATGCACAAGGTGTCTGGGGCTAACGTATGATCAGCCAGGGACGCTTCTGACGGCTTGAAGAGCAATCAATAAAAATTGTCTCCAGCAGTTTTGTAGACTATGGAAGTTGGTGGGGAAATGAAGTGATGGAGATTAACTAGTGGAAGTCGATGCCCCGGTGCTGTGAACCCTGCTTTTTAATTAAAGATCCAACACTGCTTTGTACTGGAATGGTGATTCCTCCCCCCGCCCCCTGCTTGCTTCAGTTCCAAGAAATTCTCTGGTAATGGATAATTTCCTTTCACAAAAACACACACACACAACTGTGAATGTTGATAAAACACTTGCCACAATGCGTGCAAGCTGAGGGTCAATTCACACATAATGCTTTGTGTGCACACGCTAGATGTTTTAAGTGCAAACCCAAGTAACCAATAGTACTTGGGCTCCAACTTAAGGGCTCCAACTTCAGAGGGGTAATATAGGGCATTGTGTGTGGAAGCAGAGCAGGAACATTGATGCCCTCCCTCTGCCGGGGTAACTGACAGATCCTTCGTGCTTTGGCAAGAGAAAGAGGAAATAATGAGACTTTCAATTTTTAACTATTGTTTGTGAGATTCTCATAGATGAGCAGAGAATTGGGAATAAAATCAAGCAGAGGCTGGATACGTCTGTCATTTTATTTTATGGTGTTCCTATTTCACACTAGCAGTTTAAAAATGGTAACTTCTTGGCAAGAGGGTTTGCCTTTCTGATTAAAAGCTAAAGGTTACATTCCAGCTGAATAAAGATCTTTTGTTAACCCTTGGGGGTTTTTTTATAAATTGAACATATGTAATCTGAAGTAAGCACTGCTGTGTTTAATGCAGCTTACATCCACGAAACTATGCATAGGATTTGCAGTCATGCTGATTGAAATAAATGGCATATTATGCCAAGAATCTCGCAACTCCTCCTTCCCTCCTCCTTACACTGTTGCAATCAAGCTGCGAAAAGAAGGGGATCACCAGGCAAAAGAAGGAGGATAAAAAAGAGCTGTAGAGCAAACCAAACCCCAGGGGCGGGGGAAGAGAACCGCAGAAGTGGTTGCCCCAAGAATCAACTTCAGTGCTTTCTGGGGGGGAAGAAGCAGCCCTGCAAGGGAATGCCTTCTCTTCCCCATCACCTAGCAGAAGGTGCTGCAAACTTAAGAAATCCCTAAGGAAATCCCACAATAGACATTTGTTCTTGAAATGCAGCTGTGGGGAGTGGAGTCTGCCTCCTGAATACCAGTTAGTGAGTACTGAATACAGTGGTACCTCTGGCTGCAAATGGGATCCATTCTGGAGGTCCGTTCACAACATGAGCAGAACGCAACCCGCGTCTGCGCATGCATGGGTCGTGATTCGCCGCTTCTGCGCATGCACGTGACATCATTTTGCCCGTCTGTGCATGCATGAGCGGCAAGAACCCGCAAGTAACCCTTTCTGGTACTTCCGGGTCACCGCGGGATGCAACCTGAAAATGCTCAACCTGAAGCAAACGTAACATGAGGTATGACTGTACTGCGAGTGAGGAGAGTAGCTGTTGCACTCTGGTCCTGCATACAGGCTTCCTATTGGAGCATCTGGTTGGCTATTGTGAGAACAGGATACTGGACTAGGTAGTTGACTGGACTGATCCAGCAGGGCTCTGCCATAGTTTGTGCTGAGGTATATACGACTTGGTGGGTCATGAGGAGGTACAGACAAATCTATCTACTTCTCTCTGTTTCTCATTTCCCCAATCATAAGTTCAGCTAATCACATTCCCACATCAGCTAGAAACCCTTATTTTTTAAAAAAAGTGTTCCTAAAAAGCATTTTAATTTACTTTGCTCCTGATATACACATTTTTAATGCGCATTTTTGCCTCACATATATATTTATGAAGGCATATAATGCAAGTTTTGGATGAGTTCACTTCCCTCTGATGTTATATACAGTGGTACCTCAGGTTAAGAACTTAATTCGTTCCGGAGGTCCGTTCTTAACCTGAAACTGTTCTTAACCTGAGGTACCACTTTAGCTAATGAGGCCTCCCGCTGCCGCTGCACCGCCACCACGCGATTTCTGTTCTCATTCTGAAGCAAAGTTCTTAACCCGAGGTACTATTTCTGGGTTAGCAGAGTCTGTAACCTGAAGCGTCTGTAACCTGAAGCATCTATAACCCGAGGTACCACTGTACACATGTTATATACACCTTTATTTGGATGGAGAACTGAACCACAAAATCCAAAATGCATGAATTTCGAAGGATAGCTAGCTGTGTTTCAATTTGCATATGGTGTTAATTAAGGAGGTTGGCGCCCAAACGCATGAACCGAACCAAATTTATTCCGCATTCCTGGCCAGCCCATGTGGCCAAGATTTTAAAAGTATGCTGAAGTAGTGAACTGGTCACAGATTGGTTACATGGAGCCTGAAACATCAAATTTCTAACTGCATAGGTGGTCTGGGGAAATGACTGAATGGGGTTGGAAGGGAGAGAGGGAGGGCCACAGTTCAGTGGGAGGTCATCCCCAGTATCTACAGGTATGTTCGAGGCTGATATCTCTCAATACAAATCTGAGGTTCCAAAATCCTGTCCCCCTAACAAAAATCCTGAATACGTCCTTGCCCCCCATCCTACCAGTAGAAAGGTAGCTATTTAAAGGTTTCCTTTGTAAATAGAGCATTTTTTAAATAATTTTTATAATTTATACAAAATACAA